CGCATCCAGGGCCCCACGCGGGAAGGAAGGACCCACGGACCCTCCCCCCGGGATGCTGCAGCCCTCATCCCCTCCAGTGCTCTTCCCACATCCCCGTCCGTCACAGCAAAGCTGCGGGTGACCCCACGGCACGGGCAAACCCCCAGGGACCCCCGGTGCCACCCACGGGGGGGGATGTCCCGAGGCTGAGCCCCCGACGGGGGGAACGGGCAGCCCCCTGCCCAGGTCAATTAATGGGTTTATTGCCTGCAGGCCTGGGGACAGGGAAGCCAGAGTCCTGCTGGGGACAGGGAGTGCTGTGCCTGCCTCGTCACGCGTGGGGTGATGGTCACCCCAAGGGGAGACCGGGTGGCAGCCTGGGGGAGGAGGGGGCTGGAGGCGGGCAGGGGTCTGGCTGCGCTGGCACGGAGGAAATTAGAAGGCCGGGAGGGATTTGGCACCGTGAACGCAGAGTGCCACCGGTGCCACTCGCACAGGGCACTGGGAGGGGGTGTGGGGGGCTCAGTGCCCTGTCTGCACCCTGGGGGAGCCCCCTACGGCTTTCTTTTTCTCTCTCTCCCGTCTTTTCTGTAGTTTAACCAGTAACACAAGTAACGGATAAATGTTTGGGGTTTTTTACCCTAGCGTAAACGAAGGGTGCTGGCAAAAAGGTGCTGTAGTATGAATGATCTGTAGCACCAAGAACCCATGTAGAAATTATTGAACATGTAGAAGAAAGAAATAACAAACTTTTATCTGTGGCTTTTTCATAATGACTATTCAAAGTTACTCACACATACTGATTGTGGGCAGTGGGACACCACTCCACCAAAGGTAATCCAAAGGGCATATAGGACCATCAGAGCACATACTGCATCACCCTTTCCTAACGACTTAAATTTGCATTTTTACCAGCTTCTGTTTTAGCTGTAGGACCAGTGAAAATTACTTCAGTCCCCATCTCATAAATTATCTTCTTTCTTACTACTTACCTGACCGACAATTTCTGTGGTTGTGCAATGAAAATAGATATGTAACAGATCTGGGATAACCTTTTTATCAGACTTGTTTTCTATTAAACCCAAAGACAGTGCCAGACGGCACTGTCCCCCTGCACGGGCGATGCTGTGGGTGCCACACTGGGGCAGGGAGCAGCTGGGTGCTGCGGCGGGCAAGGGGGACACGGTGGGAGGTCTTAGGGGCTGGGGGGGGGGGCACAG